GGCTGATTTGTGACCTTGATAAATTGTGGAACAGGTTTGAAGGGCAAAATGGCTTAAATTAGTGTTCCTCCTATGACCACAGTCAATGCAGTTTACCATGATTTCTTCACTCCTAACTATGCAGCTTCAATGCACCATCAAAGAATTGCTTTGTTTCATCGGAGTTGTCATTTGGGGGAGGAGCATGGTTAACTGGATTAGAAGGAGGTTAGTTAACTACTCGGACAGATGACCAGACCTCACTTATGCAATGCTTGGTATTATAACAAATTAGCAGCCACAGTTGCACATGTTTTAAGGCTTGAGACAGGTGAGTATATAGTAAAACAATAACCAATCTAGTCAGGTGCTGGAGAAGACATCAATTTACACTCAATCCAATTTATTCAGAGGTTTGATAAATGGTGGTAGTAAAGGGCCTAATTTGCCCTTTTGTATTTCTTTTACTGCTACCAGCAATGTGATTTCTTCCACTGTAATATTTGGTGCAGAATTTTTTGTGGGGGGAGAAAACTAGTTATGCTGGAAATACTGGCTTTAAGTTCTCTTTGATGTAATTAATATTTCAATTGAATGTTCATTTGAGATAAATGATACAAATTTTGAGACTGTTGGAACAATAGTGATATCTACTGAAGATGACAGTAGGAATGACACAGGATTGTGAAAGACTACAGGGGTATATGTGCTGGCATATGGTTAGATGAGAGGCATATGCAGTTCGGCATAGAAAAAATACATTTGGAAGTAGGAATGAATTTTTTAAGTGAATGTGAGCAGAGGCATAATGTGCAGTTAGCTAGCCATTCAACATGGAAACCCAGAAAAAGGCAAACTTAAATCTTTGAATTCCTATTGAATATTTCTCCATTATTTTACACTTCATATATTGGAAGTCTTGCAGACTGCCATAATTGTGTCTAATACTACAAGGGATATAAGCAATGGATAAGGTGTAGTGTTACATCACTAATATTTATCAGCAAATGGTTCTAGGTATGAAGGGATTTGAAAGCCCAAATATTTTGACTGGAGTTGAAAATGCTAAGCAATGACCTGATTGAGAGCCTCATCATGAAGTAAACATGAGATTGTGTTTTATAGATGTCTGAGTGGATGCAAATTGAAGTAACCTGGAAATGTGGAAACGTTCACAAAGCTGGGTTGAAATTCCCACGGTAGAGTTAGATAATTTACTTTTTGCCCCTGTTCAAAGTATTTTGAAAAGAGATTATCTGTTTAACCTGATGTGAAGACAGACAATGCACTAACACACAGTTGATGAGCCAAATCTCTGGTTCTAAGTGTGGCACTAAAAACAATATCCAGGGAAATGCAAACTGGATGTAGAATGTCTGGCTTCCAGCAATGGTGAAGAAGATACAATAACTTTGAATTTGTGCAGCCTACTTACCTTAAACTTTTGACAGGCACATTTTTTTAGATCTGTAATTCACCACCAACTACCTTTATTTTTAAAAAAAGGAATAAATTTAATTGTGGAAGTAGTCAAAAAATTGACTCAGTTAGCTCCTCACTACAGTTAAAGGACATGTTGCAACTATGACTCAAGTAATGACCTCAACTAACTAAACACTTGTCAATTACCTGTCCACCTATATGGAGGAAGGGCTTTCTGACTGTAATTTACAAATGTTCAGCTATTCCTGACCATCAATAAAACTGTCTGTGGCAAGACTTCAACAAAATCCGTATCTGAGATGACTAGTAAAATATGCCAATACTTGTATGGTAGAAATCTGAAGCAAATGTCCAATCCACCTCCCAGCAGTAATAGCTTGGGTATCATGTTTAACTAAAAGTTAAACTGGACCAAAGGTAGTCTGCCATCTTTGAGACAAGAGTGAAACTTTAGTCATTTTGCTTGGATATTTCCAACTGCAACAATCAACACCAAGGACACACCAGTAAAGGTGCAACAAGTGGAATTTCTCTGCTCTATTGCTTAACCTCCTTCTGTAAGTTGAGTCACTTTAGATGATGTATAATGTGCACAGAAAGGGACTGTTAATACATAGTTTCTAATCAATCAGTCAACCTAACAAGTCTAATTCCTTGACTTCATCTTTAAGTAGTGTTGCCTAACATGCATCCTTTTGTTGATTAGCCCACCTCCCTTGTGGTACCACATTTCAACTACTGGTCCAGCTCCTGTTTAAAGCCCAACTTTCCCTCAATTTGATGTCAGGTCACTCTGGCAATGATGTTTAAGTTCTTGCTGCATGTAAATTGGCTGCCATACTTTCTACAACTACACGTGATTTGCATATCAAAAGCATTTCATTGGTTATAAAATACTTGGGACACTCCTTTTGTTTTGAAAGGTGCCATCTTATCTTTTCTCTCTACCTGAATTTTAAATTGAAAGACTTCAGTACCAACCTGGACAATTTTAAACCTCCCCCTCCCATTTTGTTTAAAAATTTGTCCTAACTTGGGAAATACTTGGAACTTTAGGGAGATCCTTAACGGTATATAATCATTGGTGATACTTCCAGTATTACCAACACAGTGCAAAGTTTAGAGGAGCTGACTGGCCATTGGTTCACTTTCCTCTTGTTGTGAGCGTTGTCCTCCATAACGCTGTCTGCAAACCCATTAGCCAAGCACAAAATTGCTGAGCAAAGATCCAGACTTAATCTGCTGAAGGGGGAGATTCTGAGGACTTAGTAACTTCGCAACTGCTAGAAACTTCTGTTGATGATGGATAATCACGTAACATGCTTATACAGTGTTTTCCCAGTTTAATAGAGTTGTTAACCTACCTATTAATATGAATTGATGCTCCATTAAGGTAACCAGAATATGACAGGCACATTTGCCAGTTAAGTCCCTGATCATAATTGATGTTTCCAGACCCCTTGGCTAGAATGAGACTGAACTATCAGAAATATGAATAAAAATCACTTGCTAGTGTTATCTGACCCAATTGATTTATGTAACTTCCTGTGTTGTACCCCTCTAGGCTGCTCCTTAAAATTATTATTAAAAATTTTGATATTATAGCAGTGGGAGTTGACGATAATCCTGCAAGGCACATGTTGGGTCAACTAATGCTAACTTAAACCTGGCAAGGTTCAACTGTGTGGGTCTTGAGGTCAGCTTTTGAACCACATTTAAGTGATGATCCTTTTCCTGCGATTTAATGCATGGAATAGTCTGCAGACTCTTGCTTTGCTGTAATTTAGTCCCTGTGCACTAGCTGAATAAATCTTTAGTTTAATAACCTTTTTGATTTCAGTTTACCCTTCAAATGAAATTTGTCTTTTTTGTTTGTGGAAATATGTGGAGTTCTGGTTTATGCTTAGGGAAGGGAATGGGTACATTGAAGAGTTCAGTTCAGGGTGTTGGTGTATCAGCGACTGAAGCTGCTCACCAAAAGATTCTCAGAGGAAGAGATAGTGAATTTAAGGTAGGTAAACCCTGTAGGTAAGTTAGTGCTTGTTTTTACTTGTGATCAATGTGTTGGAGACTGTGGAACAGGTCTGATCATCAAATGATGTGATCCATTCCACATTAGATGCCAAATAATAAGGCATTGCTGTGAGAAGTGATCTAATTAGGCCAACCACCAGTAGCATAATTGAGTGTTTTCAGAGGATAGAACCACCAAGATTGCTGATACATTACCTTTTTTTTTAATTCAAATGTTGTTCTCCTATTGCACTACCTGCCAGTGTTAACATTCTTGTTTTCCCCTATATCATCTGCCTCTTGTTCCCAGGCCATTTGGTGAAATGTGGCACTAGCAACTTGAAATTTTATGATAGATCCAATACTGTTGTTCTCCTCCTCTCCTCCATTTCCTACTAACATACCCCCCAACTTGGGAAGTTTGCCCGGAGAACTGGAATGAGTCTAGCAGAATTCCCACCTGTCCAGGGATAAATCCACTTCAGCATCTCATCAGAATACTTGATGTACCAGGCATTCCTGAGTTGAAATTGATGATCCTCTGCAGTTGCTGTAAGGAGATGGAGGCTTCACTTGCCTGCAGTCACCCTTATTCTACATGATGTCCTGTCTGGTTTTACAATATGCAGCATTTGTGTATTGATTTTACTTTGAAATACTATGTCCTAATGTTAAGTTAAACCTAAACTATTTAGACTTGCATCAGCTGATTCTGGCTCAAGGAGAGAGAGGTTCTAGTTTGTTTAATTGTGCTTTTTGTTCAGGCAACCTTGAAACCGAAAACCAAGAAGTGGCCCAGGGAATGAAGAAAGAACCCCCACCCAGCCCTGTCACGCCTACACAACCGTTTCGACCCAGAAAAATTCCACCTGGTGGGGTCTCCAGTCTTGTTCTGGGATAAACCCACCATTTACTATCTGTTTGAGTTGCAGAACTGAATAAATGTGTTAATTTTATTGTGAACTGCAAAGTTTGAGCCCTACTGTTTTTGGACTAGCACTTTACATTTCACTATTTCATTGGTGCCTGTTCCATTTGAGTGCATCAAACATCAGGCCTGCTGGGAAAGGCATGAAAGTGGTTCCTCCCTGTGATGTGGTTATTGAGTATGTTTGTGTATTTCATATGTGACTTCAGCCTAAATTCTGGCATTTTGAACTTTGTATTTGGGTATATTGGAATGACTTGTGATGCAAATAAAAGTTACTCTTGAAATTGGAGTTTGAATTCATCCTTCATCTTGCTGATTATAACCTGCATACTGCAACAATTGATCATGACTGTGAGATAACTGAACTAGAGCCTGAACACTTAATGGGAGGGTAGAAAATATCCAAGAACAGTTTCCCATCCACAATTGACTCTTGCTAAATTGTGACTGCTTACTGTAGGAGCAGACTCTTCCTCCAGTTAGTGTTTTTAGTTCACATTACAAAGCGCTCCAGCCAAAGCTCTGACCTAACATGCCTTTCAACAAATCATGGTGAGAGTGCTCACAGCCTCCAAGTCATTTTCACTTTTAACTTAAAAGTCTTCTACGGCAGAAAAGACTCCTGGCTCCAGGGTAGAATTTCAGCAAAGAACGGTTTATTTTTACAATGTTCACATAGTTGCTGCAGTGAAATAATATGAAGACAATCCCAGATTCAATTATTTCCTCATGCAGCCTTACCACCACCTAAAATGGGCAAAAGCTCTATTCGCTTCAGCCATTTTGTGAAGGTCATGTTTCCTCTTGACCACATTACCCTCATTGTTAAATGCAGCAAGCAACTCCTGTGACAATTTCTCATACATGTGAGTGCGACGGTGCCGGTTTTCACGGCATTCAGTAATTAACCATTTCATAGCTAGGAAACGTCGACGATTATCAGTAAGAGGTGTTGGAACCTGCATAAAAAAATAAACTGGTTCACTAGTAAAACCACAAAAGCACTAAAAATAGTCTTTGTACAGAATAAGAGGTTAATATGAATGTGTACATGCATTAGAACTGGAGCCTTTGACGGAGCCTGGCACCATCCAATTTGTGCACAGCTGAAAGTTTTTTTTTTGAAGTACTACATTAAATCAGAACAAGCAGTAGCACCCAGGAGAGACAAGACATGAACTAAAAGCAACAAGACTAATATGAAATACAACACCAACACAGAGCAGATATGAAGTCAAACAGCTTGAATGAGTTAAGCAATGCAGTAAGGTGTAGTGAAAAATTCCAGAGCTTGAGACTTATGCAAATGAGGTATGGTCACTTTTGGTGGAGTACAAAGGACAGGTGTGAGAATTTACTCTTTAGTCCCCAGACTACAGTGGATGTTGGAACAAAAAACAAGCAGGAGACTGGAATTGAAGCTGAAATGAGACCAGTAATGATTGTATCAAATGGCAATGCATGCTCAGCTGAATTGCCACCTCCTGCTCCAACTTGTAGTCTTTTGTTAATAGGTATTTTGGAGGGTTGTAGGCTGCAGGAGATTGCTGAGAAAGACAGGCAAGGCCATAGAGTGATAATGAATTTTAAAAATCAAGATTTGTTTGACTGATTGCCATATAGGTAGCAAGCACAGATGACAGCAGAACAGGGTTTTGGCTGATAAGCTAAGAAAAGTGGAAACAGGCAGTCTTCGTGATGGCAATAATGGAGTTGAAAACTCATCTTGGGATCAAACGTGACATCAAAGAGTGCAAATGGGCCACCTTGACTTCAGATTGTTGCTAGGGAGAGAGGGTGAGCCTGGTGTCAGCAGCTTAGAGTCAGAGATGTACTGCATCGTTCAGTGCAACCCATCCATGCCAACCAAATATCCTAAATAAATCTAGTCCCGTTTGCCAGCATTTGGCCCATATCGCTCTAAATACTTTCTACTCATATCCATCCAGATGCCTTTTAAATGTTGTATATGTACCAGCCTCCACCATATCGTCTGGCAGCTCATTCCACACTCGCACCACCCTCTGCAGGAAAATGTTTCCCCTTAGATCCCTTTTATATCTTTCCTCTCTCATCTTTAACCTATACCCACTAGTTTTGGACTCCTCCACCCTGGGGAAAAGACCTTGCCTGTTTACCCTATCCACTCTCATGATTTTATAAACTTCTATAAAAGGTCACCCCTCAGCCTTCAGCGCTCCAGGGAAAATAGGCCCAGCCTCTTCAACCTCTCCATTTTGCTCAAACACTCCAACCCCGGCCACATTCTAGTAAATATTTTCTGAACCCTTTCAAGTTTCACAACATTGTTCCTATAGCAGGGAGACAATATTGTACGCAGTATTCCAAAAGTGGCCTAAGCAATGTCCTATGCAGCCACAACACTACCTCAACTCCTATACTCAATGAACTGACCAATAAAGACAAACATACTAAACCCCTTTTTCACTATCCCATCTACCTGCGACTCCACTTTCAAGGAACTATGAACCTGCACTCTGAGGTCTCTGTTCAGCAACACTTGCAGGACCTTACCATTAAGCGTACAAGTCCTGCCTTGATTTGCCTTTCCAAAATGCAGCACCTCACATTTATCAAAATTAAATCCCATCTGCCACTTTTTGGCCTAAGGAACACAGTTTGGAGCATAGACCAAGAACAATGGATCCAGTATTTCCTTTAAATCAGACAAACTATCTGCTTATTCAGTACAAAATAAGAACAGGATGAAAAGTGCTGTCCTATGTCTTACCTGGTAGGATTTGCCACCACGTTGTATGCTTGTCAACCCAATGACAGGTTTACAGTTTTCTAAAGCTTGGTGGAAGATCTTGTATGGGTTGCACTCAATGGCATCTTTCTCAGACTCTGATGCTTTGTGGTAACTTTCAATTTGCTTCCGTTTAATTGATTCAAAAGTCTAGGGAAACAATTGTCTCATTAGACCATAGCATTGATAATCCTATTGAGTACTTCTGGGTTCATGATATTGTTCTGAGATAAATGAACACACAAAGCAGTGAATAAGTAGTTCCATATCTGATACTCCTGAACTAAACGTGGTCCGCACCTGCAAATTGTGTGTGTGTGTGTGTGTGTGTGTGTGTGTGTGGGGGGGGGGGGGGGGGGGGGGGGGGGGGGGGGGGGGGGGGGGGGGGGGGGGGGGGGGGGGGGGGGGGGGGTGGGGGGGGGGCACGCGGTGTCAGGGAGGTTGCATGTCTATCCCTGAGTATTACTGGTAGGGACAGGTCTTTATATAAACTGGGGTACACCAGTGGTGGGGCCAATTCCTGTATAATACCAGTGCACAGTACTGATGCAGACAAGGGATCTGTCACTGTTTAATGCTGGTTGGGGAAGCAAGGTAAAAGATATAAAACACCTTGATTTAAGTGGTAGTATATTGTGCTATTTAAGGTCATGTGACATTATATTATGCCACATGCATTGTCAAGGTATCATTGGTGTTCCCTCATCCTCATTCCCCCGGAGAGATTCTCTTCTCCATTCCTATTCACTGTCTGATACCGGTCTAGAATCGCAGGACAAATCCTGCAGCTTACAGGACAAAAGAACAAGCAGACTTTACCTTGCTCATGATCGATCTGGACAGTAATTTCTGACCTCGCTGCATCATCATGTTGGTGAACTTGCTGAAAGCATTTATAGTAAGAAAAATGTTATGTTCTCAGAGTACACGTCAACTTGGAACAAACATAAGAGACCAGATGTTTGTAAAACTTGACAATCTATATCTCCCGTATACTTTCTACCTCTATAAAACATTAACAAAGACACTCCTTAAAACCTACTCTTCAATCCTATTACATTGCATCTCAAACATGTCCTTATGAAGCATCATGGAACATTATTTTTGCTGAAGGTGCCATGTAAACAAAGTTGTTGATTAACATCAGGGATGCACGAAAAGCCTAGAGTTGTAGCAGTATAGGTATTTGGGAGTTTATAGAAATGAGGAAAGAGACCATGGAGAAATTTGAAAACATGGTTATCAATTCTAAAATTGAAATATTGTTTAATCTCAAGCCAATGTTGGTCAATGAGCATTAGTGGTGATGGGTGAGCAGGGCCTGGTGTGAATTAGGACATGAGCAGGCTCTTAGATTACCTCAAGTTAACAAAGAGTAGAATGCAGGAGAACATTAGGTTGCTTCAATGTGCTAATTTAACTTTATTGTTCTGAGGGCTGCAATGGCAGTAACTTATTGTGTAATACTGATTCCTCAGAACATTGCAGTAAAATTAATCTACGTATTTTAACCTGTAGCTTTAGTCCAGGAGGTTGCTTTTTAAAACAAACAAGCAGAACGTAATTACAATCCAGGTTCTGTAGTCCACATTACAAATAAACAGGATGCATCACGAATTCAGGGCCCACTCTCTCACTGTCAAGTAAACCAATCTCTCCAATTTATCCCATGAAGGTGTTCACAGTTACTGACATGGACCAAGACAATCAGACTAGGTTGACACAGACAAGCACGGAGGTGGGTTTTAAAAAAAAACAAACTCAGACCATTTACTGACCTAATCAAAAAGTCAGAAAAGACACTACTGCTCTGATTACTTAGTGCTGCCTTTATGGGTCGGGTAGACCTGAGCTCCAGAGCCGCAGTCTCCTCCGGACCAATTTCAGGACCTGGGATCTGGTGCCGCTCCTTGTTTATCTCAGGTTCCAGGTAATAAGGATTGTACCGAGACCCACGTACAGGAACCAACCTTGGGCGGGGGAGGAGAAAGAGAGAGCAGAAAATAATTACATTTCAGGAACCAGCACCCCGGCAATATACCTTTTCATCCTTCTCCACATTCCCTCCAGGTCCACCACGGCACTTCTTCATCTCTGGGCCAAGCTAAAAACTTTTTCTTCTACGCGTTGCCCTGACAACGTCCCCATCTCCCGTGCATCTCCACACACTCTCTCCCACAACAAACCCACCCCCCGATTCCACATCCACCCACTAATACTCTCCCTACATCACTTTTCACGCTTGATAACCTCCAAATCCATTTTCCTTTCACAAGGAGCGCACCGACACATTCTCTCATTTCTCATGCCCTTCATCCAACGTCCATCATCCTTCTCACCCCTCCATTCACACACCACCCTTCGACCTAGACCCCCTCGTCCCACCCCCGGACCCTTGGCTCATGCCCAGCTTCTCCAGCCACCCCCCGCCCCTTTAAAATACACTGTCCCCATTCCGGCAATTCCCTTCCAAATACACCTCTTTCACCCCCACCTTAACCGATATTGTTCCCCACTGTCGCACCACCGATCTCCTTCCCTCACTGCACTCCAAGTCCCAGCCTTGAGCAGGAACCGAGCCCCACACTCACCCCGGCATCCAAGCGTTGAGGCAGCAGCGCCCAAGCCTTACCGCGGACCCCATCACCAGCCTGCTCCCACCCGCCGCCATCTTATGTCAAACTCCGGTTGCTGGTCGCCGCCATGTTGGATGAGGTGCTCAGGACCCATGGTTGCCCTTCGTGCGCCTGCCGGCATCGTTACCTAGCAACAAAATTCAGCGCCAAGCTGAAGGAGCAGGGAAAGGTGGCCGTTCAGCCCATACCGCATGTACTTGCCCTTAGAAGAGCAGTCGTGTTTGATGTTTCATCTGTGATTGAGTTTGATTTTTATTCATAAGTTTCTTAACTACTTTCTAACTCCCTTCTAAATTGTGAAATCGCTTCCAGATTTCACCTTTCGACATGTGATTTTTTGTTTAAATGCATAACGCCAGATTATTAACCATCTCAATCGACTGAATTCTTCTTCCATATCGAGTCTATCATCTTTCAAAGTCTCTGTTACCCAGATTATCAACCTCGTTTTCAAGAATTTGTTTCAAAAGAGTTTCATCACTGAATCCCTGGTCAGATCGTGGTGAACCTCCTCTGGTCACTTCATGAAGAATTTCCACCTTCCCTGAAGTGAGGTGCTCAGAATGCTCCAGATAAAGCCCCGGTGATAATTTAGTGCTATTTTTCAGTGCTAACATGATCTCTGTTTCCATAATCTCTTGCTCTGTTTATAAATCCAATTAACAATTGTGCTTTTTGAGAATCTGTGAGGCAATGGTACTAACCACTGAGCCACTAAATGTCTGATATTTTGCTGACTTTTGTATCGACCGCAAGCCCATGCAGCTCTGCATATCTTTTTTGTAATTCCATATATCTGTTTTGGTTGTTTATACAAATTGAAAAAAGCTGTAAACATTTTTGTCTAACGCAGGGATTCTTAGAGATCCAGCATCCACAGTCACTGATGCAGGTGACAGGAATTTGCCTCCAGAACATTTGCCAAATAAAAAAGTATTGATGAGGAGATTGAAAGAAATTGTTTACCCATTCCTTTGTCTAGAATTAATTTAAAAGATGGCTTGATGTTCAAATAGCTTTTTAAAAATAGTAGCCTGAGTTTCTGACTCTTTGGATGCATCTTTAATCAAAGCATCAATTCTCAATTTCTTTTAAGTAACTCAGACATTTTTGTACAATTTCAGTATCAACATCTTCCAACAGGTTTTCCTGAAACCACTGGAGACAGTAATACCTTTCCCCAGCCAAATCAATTCCCAATAAAAAAAAAGCCATTAGGCAAACTATGTACCAATACAGGACTGGAAATAGCTTAAGCCATCTTTCAGAGGGAGACAGGTTAGAGTGGGTAAAAGGAGCAGTGAAATTAAGGTGACTGATAGAGTTCTCAATGAAGAGATCAAGTGCAGGTAAAATGCCAGAGGAAGCGTCCAGGTGGAAGGGTGTGTTGGGGATAGGTGAAAGTGTCTGTGTGGCAGGGAGAGGGCTGTCCAAAGATTGTCACCTGGGTTAGTGCCATCCCTAAGGTGGAATACACAATGCCATAAGGTCAATTACCTTCTCTGATCCACCAGAATATGTTCCCTGTCTGCTACCTCTCACTCACTCGATCCGTGCTACTTTATCCACTTCCGACTAAGGCTCTAACACCCTTGCACTTGTTCCTACCCTCCCCAATTTCCCATAGTACTGACCCTTCATGTCCTATGCACTATCTACTCACTCACTCAGGAGATCTCAGCACTTTCTCCTCATCTGCACCAGCATTAACAGATGTACCACCCGCTGTTATTTCAGTCAATCACTGTCTTTCTCCCATTCCAGGAATAAACAGCTCACAATAGGGCAGAAACAGCCCAGGCATGTGGTAAGGTGCCTAACATTAGGGTCCTCAACCTCTACAAGGAGATAATCATGGGACCAGCAAGAGAAAATGGGACTGTTCCTATAGGGATACGGAGACATCCATGTCCTGCAAACCGAGTAAGTACTATTCTTCATTCCACTGCAGGTCTTGTATTAGCCCATTATCAGTGTCATTCATTGCACACAAGCTATAACCCTTGGCTGTAAGACCTCTTTTTTGGTGTCTTGCAGGTGCAAGTGGAATGCTCATGGTCTCAGCAGTCAAGTAGCCTGTCCTGAAAGACAGGGCGTCCAGCTCCTCTAAGGAATGGAGTTCAGTGGTCCTAGGGAAAGCAATACAAGGCTGCAGCCTGCAATCCCCACCAGATCAAATATTAACATATCTCTTGGGACAACAGGGAGATTAGAGTCAGTTGCATAAGCTGGAGAGCACTTCACAGGCTAGGGAGGAAATACCAAGGACTGCTGTTACTCGGAGGACTGCTGGAGGTCAGGTGTCTGCTCAACCCCAGGCAGGAGAGGACCCTGTGGTGTCAGCAAACCAGGACTTGGTTCACTTGTGCAAGGAGATGTAGGAGAACTAGAGAGGTGTGTATGTGGGAGGCAATGGCCCTGATAGCCTTGAAGCTTGCTGACTGCAGTTACACCACGGGGATCCTATGCTTCAGGCATGTGATCATCTGACCATGGATAGGTTGGCAGTTGCCATGGAGAGCCCAGTCCAGCAATCTCGGGGTCAGAGACCTGCACTCCATCATCCTAGTATTTGGTCCTTATCACCAGTCACAGGGAGATGGGGGTCCTTGACCTTGCTACTGTACCCTAAGCCTTAGAGCTTTACTTTTAGTATATACTTTTTGGCAGGCCCTGCCTCATCAGCAGAACCTGGGTTTGCACTCAGACATGGTGTGAGTGAATAAAAAAACAATCTCGAGGGCACATTGGTAGGATGGGTGTCATCTGTCTGTAAAAAAAGCCTCATTTTGTTAATATATGCAAGATACTTTTTTTTGCTTGAGTTTCTTTCTAACTCCTAATGTAACTGTCGCAATATGAAGTGAAAAAATCACACAATACCAGGTTATAGTCCGAGATAGTAGGAACTGCAGATGCTGGAGAATCCGAGACAACAAGGTGCAGGGCTGGATGAACACAGCAGGCGAAGCAGCATCATAGGAGTAGAGAGGCTGACGTTTCGGGCCTAGACCCTTCATCAGAAAAGGGGGAGGGGAAGGGGGTTTTGAAATAAATAGGGAGAGAGTGGGAGGCGGATAGAGGAGAGGATAGGTGGAGAGGAAACAAACAGGTCGAAGAGGCGGGGATGGAGCCAGGAAAGGTGAGCGTAGGTAGGGAGTTAGGAAGGGGATAGGTCAGTCCAGGGAGGACGGACAGGTCAAGGGGACGGGATGAGGTTGGTCGGTAGGAGATGGAGGTGCGGCTTGAGGTGGGAGGAGGGGATAGGTGGGAGGAAGAACAGGTTAGGGAGGCAGGGACGAGCTGGACTGGTTTTGGGATGCGGTGGGGGGAGGGGAGATTTTGAAACTTGTGAAATCCACATTGATACCATTGGGCTGCAGGGTTCCCAAGCGGAATATGAGTTGCTGTTCCTGCAACCTTCGGGTGGCATCGTTGTGGCACTGCAGGAGGCCCAGGATGGACATGTCGTCTGAGGAATGGGAGGGGGAGTTGAAATGGTTCGCGACTGGGAGGTGCAGTTGTTTGTTGCGAACCGAGCGTAGGTGTTCTGCAAAGCGGTCCCCGAGCCTCCGCTTGGTTTCCCCGATGTAGAGGAAGCCACACCGGGTACAGCGGATGCAGTATACCACATTGGCAGATGTGCAGGTGAACATCTGCTTGATGTGGAAAGTCTTCTTGGGGCCTGGGATGGGGGTGAGGGAGGAGGTATGGGGGCAGGTGTAGCACTTCCTGCGGTTGCAGGGAAAAGTGCCGGGTGTGGTGGAGCTGGAGGGGAGTGTGGAGC